ACTAGGACTTACATTTTATTATTATAAAAAACATAATTGTGCCGGGCGGTGGTGGCGCACGCCTTTAATCCCAGCACTCGGGAGGCAGAGCCAGGCGGATCTCTGTGAGTTCGAGGCCAGCCTGGTCTCCAGAGCGAGTTCCAGGAAAGGCGCAAAGCTACACAGAGAAACCCTGTCTCGAAAAACCAAACCCCCCCCCAAAAAAAACATAATTGTGTTTTTAAATAGCATTTAATAATTTAAAAATTATAATGTTACTTTTTAATGCCAAAAGTTAGAAATTTTTCAGACAAACCTAAAGGAACAAGGGAAAAGCACTGATCATATACTGAAGACAAAGTTGGTTTCATCTCCTCCTCTGTAAGTTTTCTATACAGCATACAATTAGACTTAGCATGAAAAAGATTATCAGAATTAAATGGCTAACTCTAACAGGCTCATAACCACCAAGGTACCTGCACCATTAAGCTAAAATATTCAGTTCAACTGTTTGCGTAATGCTAAATTAATCCTTTTAGAAAGTTAACTGGCATAAGTTGACAGCAAACGGGGGATGAAGTTCAAGCTGACACATGGCTCTGTGTATTTGGTTATTGAAGGCAACTGCTAAATGTAGAATTTTCTCTAATTTGAGTCCAGGGCCAATGATACCTGGATATTTGGAATACTACCATATGCCAAGTGTCCTGCAAACATAATACTGCATAACCACCTGCACTCAGAAAGCTACTGCTGGAACCATGCATAGGATTTTAACTTTTATTTTTAAAATATAGCATAAGAAAACCAATTGCTATCTTAAATGGTTAAAACTACTTTTGGAAATTAACCATTTCAACAAAGAGATTATAATAAGGGGTTCTAGAATTCATATCTTATCAAGCATCTGTAGTATTGTAAAGAGTCTAAACCTTCAAATAGTGAGATCAAATCAGTTACAAAGGGTGAATACTATATCATAATAAAATAGCAACTATCTCTTTGACCTGTGCTCCCACTGAAAGTACAGTCAACATACGATAACATTGTTCAAATACTGGTAGGAGTTATTGTGTGCCCTGAACCCAACTGACACATATAACTGTTTAATAACACTGTCGAGGTTAAGTAAGTATTCATAAGGACTACTATGCAGGTCTACCACACCTGTCTAGCACGCATAAAGTCCTATGTCCACTGAAAACAAACCTCATGTAAATACTTTGCCTCTGATGTATGTAGGATGTGCATTCAAAGATCCGTCCAACAATGGGTTAACAACATATGGAGAAAGTCCATCTATACTGAACATATAGGGGACCTAAACACTACAATCTAACATGTTTCTGCTACATTTACATTGTGTACAAGTGAATATTTAGTGATGCAAAGTATGTCATAAAATTTATTTGTCATATTTCTGTTAACTGTTGTATCTTTGCATACACCCTGAAAATGCGATCAAAATACACTTTAACTCACTTTTTCATGTTATAAATTTTTATATTTTTTTAAAATTTTTGAGATTATAATATAATTACATTTCTCCCTTCATTTCTTTCCCTGAACCCTCCCATATTCCCCTCTTTCCTTAAAATTCATGGCCTCTTCTTTCATTTATTGTTCTTGTGCGCACATGTGTACACATATACAGCTCTAGGCCCCACTTCCCCCTTTCTACAACCTTCTAACAAGGTTATGATAGACTCTTCAATTCTTTTCTCAACTTTATTTGAGCTTCTAATTAATGTCTTTCATACAACTCATTCTATTTATGATTGTATACGTTGGATAGATGCACACTCATTTTATTTTCATAAAACCCTGGGCAGAGGGCAGTTCGCTCAACTTTCCTGATAAAGAGATTGAGAGAAAGAAGAGCACGTAGGCAGTTAAGAAGCATCTACTTCCAGCTGTGTGAGGTCACTGACTCTAAAAATTGAGTTTCCAAACACTGAAGACTTATTAGCTAGTTTCTTTTGCCAGTAATCTTTATGCTACAACAACAGTACTTCATTACCTTGACCAAAAATATTATGTCATATAGAAGATAAAAAAAAACTGGATTAAGGCAGATAGTGTTTTCTGGCAGGACACATGGCTTTCTTTCTTAGCCATAGGTTTGTTCCTATTCATGGAACCTACTAAGGAATCAGCTCCAGTTCAAACCAACGAAACTTTTATTGGGAACTTGTTACGTGTCAGCTTCACGTCATACAGATTCAGACATGAGGGGCAGTGCACTGTGTCAAATGTTGAGCCATGAACCAGCCCAGTGCCCTCAAGAGTCGATCCTATTTGAGTGAAACCTTGGGAGATGGGACTCTCCTAGAGCAGTGAGTGTTTCATCCAGATTGACATGAGAACCCGGTCATTGGCCAGAACTCCCTGGGTGTCCTGCTCAGGATAGTTCTGTGTGTGCCCTGTTTCAGCAAGCTCATTTTACATATGAGTCAAAATTATTTTCATACTGAAAGAAGCCTTCTTAGAGCTGGTATTCTAAATTTAATGCAGGGGATTTTAGGATAAAGTCCAGGTTGAAACAGATTGCTGCCTCTGCTGCCTGTTTAAGTACAGAAGCTGGCTGAACAGAAACAGAAAAGAAAAACAGTTCTAGATTTAAAAAAAAAAAAAAAAAGCTAGAGTGGGTGAAAAGCATATCCATTGGAAAGAGTCAAGGTATAAAATTTAGGAGAAAACATCTCCACCCAGTAAGAAACCCAGATGCCTGTAGGAATCACCATAGACACAGACGCTGAAAGAGTTCTTCTCAGATCTGAGCTGAGGATTCCCAGGCATTTAGGGCTAAAGAGTCAGCCCTGAGTGGTTCATAGCCCCGGGCCATTCAATTCCTGTGTGTTTGCAGCCTGTGATGGTACACAGTGGCTCAGTTCTGTCAGGTAGCTTATTTATTTTTCAGTTTTGAAGGTCAGCAAGCATGAAAAACATTATGATGAACAGCAGACTTTGACCAAGTGTCTCTGAGCAAATAGATTTGGATATATAACAGTAAAAGCTACATTTTTAGCTGAGTCAGCCAAAGAACAGAGAAAAAATGCATGTTAAAACAGAATTCTCTTAATGTAAAAGCAGAATTGTTTTTGTTGCTTTTTTTATACCATCATTTTAATGAGTGTAGTTATTCCTTCAAAATTATCCCCAGGGGGAAAAAAAAGGTAAAATTCATTGATTTGTTGAAAGTATTTTTCACTGATCAAAGAATTCATGTTTGTGGTAGACCCCTGAAACAAAATGAAATAGCATAGAATCTCAAGTTCTTTATCCAGTGTTTACCTTTGGAATGTGTGCTGTGCTGTGTTCCTTCTCCACATATATATTTCCTCATGTGTAAAGAGATAATATAGTACGTGGACAATTAAGGTACCGAACATGGGATGTGCAGGAATACCCCTAGAACAATGTGAGGCAGCACTCATTCTCAGAACATCACGTTTGCCATCCAACATCCTTGCTTGACTCCTGGGGTATTTTAGATGACATGACACATCGATAACGTTTCCTGCTGAAACATTTTCACAAACTGTTAGAGGCATGCCTCTATCTTAATAAATCATTTAAATTTAGACTACTATTTAAAGTGGATATTTCCCCAAATAAGAAATTGTCCATATAAATTTAAATCCACACACATACACATAGACATTTGTACACATTTTTGTGTGTGTGATCCCAAAGTTTAACACTTAGGAAAATTTTCCTTTATTTTGATGAGTATTTGTGTCACTAAATATGCTTCCTTTCTATTTATGCACCACAGCTATCTGTTATCACTCATGGCCAGTATCTGACCCATGACTATATTGGGGTTACCTTGCAGTCTCTCAGGAGAGAAGACCTGAAATAGGAACAAAAGAACAGAGTGTTTGACAATGCCGGGGTCATGCATGAGATCGATATGGTTAAAGATGATAAGTTCAAGGATGTAGCATGGAGCTTAGCCATAGGAAATAGCTGGAAGAGGGGGCATTGTCCAGGCAAGAAGGAAGCTGTAGATCAAGGAACACAAATAAAAGCAAAGGTGACTTCAAACATTGCCTGCCAAGAAAACAAAGTTTCTAAATTTAGTTTTCATTAGAGTTGCAGGGTGTAAAAAAGATTCAAGAATGAGTTTAAAATAAGTAGGGAAAATCTGGAACTGTTTTATGTTATGGTATTTGATGAAAGGCATCCCTAGCCCCTAGGTTTCACTTGTATTTTGATAATTTTAATACATAACAACTTAGTTTTTTCATTCACTACATTTCACTTGTAGTTTTTACTCATAGGGTTCATTTATAGGTTTCATTCACCATTTTGCAGGAAACACAAAGTATAATAGCCTAGATCCTACAATTAGACTTTCATATTGTTAACCTTTCATTTTTTTCCCTTTTCCCCAGTTGCCCTTATATATGTCCTTCAGTTTTGAACACTTCATTTTATCCTTAAATTATTTAGGATTATAATTTTCTGAAAGGAAATTTTTAGTGCACAAGAATTAATATTAATAAATTATATATTCCTGAATTCAATAAAATTCACAGGAACTGGGTGGGAATCTTATTTAATATTTAATTATGAAATGTCATATACTGTTTGTATTGCTCTTTGTGGAACAATAATTGGACTTTAATTGACCACATACTATATTACTTTGTTTTTCTGTGATTGGATTGATCAATAAATCTGTACATTAAATTATGAACACAAATGTTTAAACTCAGTGTCAGATGGTTGCAAGACAGGGGAACCAGTTTAATATAAGAAGTACTGGTGAGCCAAACTTACCATCACTTTATTTTAAAATGGTCAGCATGGTTGTCCAAGACATCTTAGACTATATCCCTCATGGCAAAATACAAATTTATCACTATAAATGCACCCATCTCTTTCAAAGTACAAATAACCAGGAGTATTTTTCACTTAGCATATATGGGTTTTAATCTCTTGAATTCTAGAGATTCGCAAATACATAGTGGGTTAATTCATTCCATTTAACGACTGTGCTCTCCTCTTTTCAGATTGACCTTCTTGTCCCTACCAAAGTGACCGGCATCATCACACAAGGCGCCAAGGATTTTGGTCACGTGCAGTTTGTGGGTTCATACAAACTAGCCTACAGCGATGACGGGGAGCACTGGACTGTGTACCAGGATGAGAAACAGAGAAAAGATAAGGTAAGTGGTCTGCACGCTCGGTAGAGTCAAGGGTCAGGCTCTGGTTCTATTTTTAATGGAAAAAGATTGCATGCAATATATTCTGATCATGGGTTCTGTGTTTCCCAACTCTTCCCAGGTCATCTTCCCACCCACCCAACTCCATGCCTCTTCTTTCTTTCTCTCCTTAGAAAACAAAGTGGGCAAACAGGCACAAAACACATAAGAAAAAGAAAGGAGAAAGAAAGAAAAAGGAAAACAAAGACAAGAAACACACACACACACACACTCATTAAAACATAAAACTGGAAAGTATAATATATGAGCAAAGGGCCAGTAAGGAAAAGAATGCCAAATCAATTTTGAATTTATTCCAAAAATAACACCAGTGTATACAATAAACCATGCTAAATAGAATTTCGAAGAAAAGAGTTTGCAGTAGAGTATGTGATATGAGACCTATTAAAATAAATAACTTTATTAGTGAAAAATCTCCCCTACTATACACTAAGATGTGGGTATCTAAAATTTTCTTTACATCTTACAAACTCAGAGGAGGCCTGACATTTGATCATAATTAACATGAGTGTACTGCAAAGACAAACATTACTATTATTTTATAAATAAATTAGTGATATTAGAAGAAACACTCACTTGAGAAAAATATTTCAGTGGTAATATTTCCTTGATTATGTGACAAAAAGGAACTTTAGAGACAGGCATATTTTGAGGACTATGCTAGTTCATCCAAGTAAAACAAATTCTTCTTTCTAAGTTTGCTTCAATATATTATAATTTGGAAATTAAAATTTCTATGAATAAATTATCTGATTTTATGGCTAAACACACCATATAGCTCTTTAAGTATGAAATTCCTATTTATTAACTTCTGATCCCCTTGAACTCATTTAACAACTGCTATCAATTTCTGTGGAACTCTGAAAAATAAAAGGCTTAGAGGTTGGTGCCTGGTTCTGGCCATACGTTATAATACAGCCGCAAGTAGCCTAAAGGCATTGAGTTGAGTGATTAGTTAGTGACCTTTGTACAGAGCTCGAGACTTCATGAGTTATCAATAGAAATACTTAGCTCAAGGGTTGGGGTAAAGTTTAAGAAACTCACACATTTCAAATGTTTCTGAGTTAATAACTTTTTATGTTAGGTGATACCTGTGTATCCTTGCTATTGGTATATTATGAGCCAACAAAAAGCTTGAGGATATCTTTCTTACTCAAGTGGTCAAGGCAGAGAATGTATAAATCTGGCTAGAAACACATAGGCTTGCAAACCTGTTTCAGTGAGACACTAGTCTGACTTTAGTTTGAATTCAGTTCAACCAAGCTCATTTAGTGGAAACAGTCTTAGGTTCTGATTTAAACAGCCCACATCTGTTTGTGTTTTTATATCTGTGAATACTCCACTTAACAGTTCAGAATACATACATGTTTTACATTTTAAAATCTCAGAGGCTGGTATGCTCTTATGACAACATATTAAGTCTTTCACATGCTTTATAGAACAAAGTATCGGGTTCTATTTTTTCATGGAAAAAGAATTTATGCAATATATTCTGGTCATGGTGTCCTTTTCCCCCAACTCTTCCCAGATCCTCCCCATCTCCATACCCACCCAACTCATATTTTGTTGAGAATTACTGTTCTCATTCAACAATGTAAACTAATGGTGTATTTTATAATCAGTGGCATCTCAGATCAAATACATATTGAACATTTTGTTTAAAATGTCTTCAAATTTATTTTATGACCTATAAACAAACTTTTGCAACAAGTGGTTATAAATAATGATTTCACCTCCTCTCAGGGTTTATAGACACTGGTGCGTAGAGTTGGATGCTCCACGACATGGGGGTTTTAAACTGTATACTTTAAACTTTGCTTAGTCTTGGAATTAGTTTTAAGATATGGAAGGCTTTTAAACTCTTTGCAATATGTACCCAAAATCAGTAATAGTTAAGTCTTTAGAGTTAGTGGGGCATGGTGGTACATGCATATAATCCCAGCACTCAGGAAGCTGAGGCAAGAGTGTCGGCACAGGTTCAAGGCTAGCTTGGGTAGTATGATGCTGTTTCTAAAACACACAATCTAAAACAAAAGAACAAGCAAACATTCATTTGTTGAAATACTTACCTCTGTTTACATTTAATATGTAAATTAGTGCTTATAATCAAATATTTTAAATTATTTTACTGATAGACTAGGAATTTGCTTAGTGAACACACTTGATCTTATTATCTCCTCCTGAAACATATGCAAATCATTCTGTGAAGTTGCTGGATAATGTGATTCAAGGTTTCTGTACCCTCTTGGTGTTTCATCTATCTGTTACTGAGTGTAATATGACTATCTCTCATTATCATTATGGAGTTGCCTATTTCTCTTTGCCATGACATCTTAGTTGTCTTCATATATTTGCACAGGCAAGGTCTTATTGTCATTTAGGAATTAAGTGACTCTTACATCTTACAATATTTTCCCCCTAAAATTTACTTCATCATGCATGGCTAGAGATACTCCAGCATTTGGAAACGTTACCTCCATGTAATGTGTGTACATTTTACTTACATGTAATACATTTGAGATGAAATTCTACTGTGTATAGATAGTTATATTTTTAAGCCCAATCTAGTCTACTTTGAAAACAAACAAAAGCAAGCTTTCAAGCCACCTACATGTGATATCAGTATTGATGTAAATGGCTTTAAATTAATCACTTAAGTATTTATTTCCTATTTATTGCATCTTTTCATCTTTTTGTCTTCATTTGGATAAGTTCAAAATTTTAGGCCTTCTATATTACTGTAATTAATGAGGCAATTCCACGTAATTTATCCAGTAATCAAGAGAGGTTTATTTCTGGGATAACTTACAGCCCATAGGGGTTGGTTACAGGAGAGATGAGGGGTACCATCCAATGGAGAACTCTGGCTTGGCGTCTCATCCAGTTTCTAGGACCTTGAGGTATCCAGAAGGGGCCAAACACTTACACACTCAAGTCTTAATGAACTCCCTCTCAGCCACACCCCAGGGGCAGGTCAGCCCCAGAGGCAGGTCAAAGGCAGGTGTGGCAGTTACCTACTGTCACTCTAGGGGCAGTGTTTCAAGGTCAAAGCTGGAACAGCTACCCACTACATCTCTATTTTATGTAATGTGTAGTCTACAATATTTTGTTATTTTAGCTAATGTATTGGGATTCATGGTATACATTTTAACTATTAAAACCTAATTTCAAATGAATGTAAAGCCCCAGACTCTTAACACTATAAGCACAATAAAACAGATTCTAGACATAAAATCATACACTGGAAGACCGTTTATTGCTATTGTTATTACTAGTGTTAATGTTAGTTTCTTAGTTAGGGTGTTATTGCTGTGAAGAGACACCATGAGCATAAAGAAAAAATTTAATAGGGGCTGGCTTAATTCAGCAGTTTAGTCCATCATCATCATGGCAGGAAGCATGGCAGCACACAGGCAGACATGGTGCTGGAGAAGTAGCTTAGAGTTCTACATACAGATCCACAGGCAGCAGGAATAGAAAGCGACACTGGGCCTGGCTTGAGCATCTAAAATCTCAAATTCCCAGTGACACACTTCCTCCAAAGAGGCCACACCTACTCCAACAATGCCACACCTCCCTATGAGGGACATTTTCATACAAGCCATCACAATTAGATTAGCAGAAGTATTTATTAGTATTATTTGGGACTGAGTCTCACGGTGTAGCCCTGACTGGGTGTAAGCTTAATATGCCTACCCCAATTTCTCTGAAGGACAGGGAATACGGGAGTATGCCTCCACTCTCAGTGAGGAATATTTATTTTATGACCAGCATTTTCAAGTAAGACTTCTAGCAGAGAAATGTGAACTCACTAGGCAATTTAGAAAATTATGAGAGTGGATTGACCCAGGATTTTCACTGCAACAATATATGTGGAGAAATATATCACTCAGCAATCTACACAATGTAGAAATAATCTGAAACATTAAACCATTTTAACCTAAGTGTCTCTCTTTCTCTCTCTCTCTCTCTCTCTCTCTCTCTCTCTCTCTCTCTCTCTCTCCTCCCTCTCTCTCTCTCCCTGTGAGGGGGTTCCATTTCATTTTCTATTGTTTGACACGTTTTGTCTTATTGTTTTCTCCTGACTTTCTGATGTATTTTTATTTGAGAGAGAGAAAAACCATGAACTTAGCTGGGTAAGGAAGTGAGGAGGATGTAGGAGGAGTTGGTGGAAAAATACAATCACAATATATTATATGAAAAAATATCATTTCAGCATTACGAATCTTTGACTGCTAGTTTTAGAATTCAATCTGATAGTTTGTTTAAAATATTAAAACCAATTAAGTGCACTTAAGAAGCTTAATATCAGCACTCGGGAGGCAGAGCCAGGCGGATCTCTGTGAGTTCAAGGCCAGCCTGGTCTCCAAAGCGAGTTCCAGGAAAGGCACCAAAGCTACACAGAGAAACCCTGTCTCAAAAAACCAAAAAAAAAAAAAAAAAAAAAAAAAAAAAAAAAAGAAACTTAATATTAGCTTATTACTTAATACAAAATAGTTATTTAAGTGGGGTCAAGAAATAGCATATAATAAAATAGCAAATAATATTACCCAAATAAAGAGCATTATACATCCTGGCATAGAAGATTATCTAACAACAGAAACACAAAGGGATGTTGTCTATGTTTTTTAAACACATGAAAGAGAGTGTATGTAATATACATATGTCAACCAAATTGTCTGTTTTTATAGATAAGAAAACAGTTCTCGTGTTTTGTAATCACTGTTGCCATAGCTATTCTGTCTCCCACTGTACAAGTAGACGGGGAGCTCAACCATGTGTTCTTCTTTTAAAAAGTGCCAAACACAGCATACCAATGATTTTATTTCTGAGTTTGAACAATTGATTCTTTACATTATTTACATTTAACTTTATATGCTTGCATTTAATCAGAATGCTTCAATATTTACCAAATTAAAATTCAAGCGTAAGTTTTTACCACA